AGAGCGCGGCCCGGCCGCGGGGCCACGGAGGAGTAGAGAGTTCCGAACTTGTCGGGAGCGGGTCGCTGCCCGAACGGCGCGCGGCAGCTGGTGCGGAATGAAGCGGTAGCTGTGCCGAGGGAGTTCTTTCCTGCCCCAGGCTTAGTAAACGTCGTGCGAGGCACCGTGCCCAGGCATAGAGGTCACCCTCGGGAGATTTCAGTGAACGGCCCGGCCGCGGGGCCACGGAGGAGTAGAGAGTTCCGAACTTGTCGGGAGCGGGTCGCTGCCCGAACGGCGCGCGGCAGCTGGTGCGGAATGAAGCGGTAGCTGTGCCGAGGGAGTTCTTTCCTGCCCCAGGCTTAGTAAACGTCGTGCGAGGCACCGTGCCCAGGCATAGAGGTCACCCTCGGGAGATTTCAGTGAAACCTGGAGCGGAAGAGCCGGTGCCTGGAGTCGAGCCTTAGGTGGCAGCTCAGCTGCTGGACTTGGTTTTGGGGGCGATGACTGTGCCTTCCAGGCGTTGACAGCTCGCCCCCGCCGCCCGCGGAAAAGCCACCCTCAGGGCTGGACAAGAGATGATGCTAGGTGGAATCTGCAGCACCTGAAGAGCTGCCAGTTGTTACGGGATTAAAAAAGAAATCTTTAATGGCCACAGAGTAAGATACTGAAAAATAGTAGCACCGAGTTAATCAGGCGATTTATTTTTACGCGAATGTTGCCTGTTCCAACGCTACCTGTTATACATCTTGTTTTCCCCCCAACTCCTTCCTTTCAGGGTCTGGGAAAAGCCATGTAATCTTTTGCTGTGGAATGATCGCATAATTGGAGAGGCTGATAACAGGATTAAAACAAAATTGTTCTACTGTAAATCTATTGAAAGACCTAGTTTCTGTTTTTTTTACTCTTATTTTGTTGTACAGGCAGTTTTTTTAAATGGTGAATGATAAAGCAAGGAGAAAAGAGGCAGAATAGTTTGTAGATCATCATAGTAAATATTTGATACTATTAAATATTTCACCAGTTTTATGGGGCCTTATTCTGTTAACGTGTTATTTATTTACCAGTACTGTGCATTTTGATAGGATTTTTTATGTTTGGAAAATGTATTCAGTATGTAGATTATGTGAAGCAATCCTAAAGCCTTTGTGGAATTTATAGAAATAAACTTAACAGTTACATAATTTTACTGCAATAATGTATTTATTACAGTTAGAAGTCTAGTTTTTTCTTTCTCCAACACAACAGTGTTATGTATTAATGCACACTTTTGTGAACCAAAGTGTTCCATGTAACTCTTCCTTGTGTTTCCCAAACCAACTCACCTGTGGTAGGGAGTACATTCAGCTTTCAACCAGGATGGCTATTTGATATTCAGCTGTTTGTTGTTTCTAATTAGTGAAGTACATAATTAGATCAATTTGCATTTTTGAATTAGAGTAGTATAGTTATGCATACGCACCCTGTAATATTATTTACCTTTGATTTTTTTCTAAACCCTTAATCTCCCCCAACACACACATCCATGCTCTGCAAATAATTCTTTTAATTGAGAAGTTTGTAGAAATAGTTCACTCATTTTTTAGTATGGCAGAACAAAAATTTATGTTATATTAGTTTTACATGCATTTTCTTCCTAAATAGGTCTCACTGAACAAATTGGTCCAAAAATTAGCCCCCAAAAGCTGGACTAAGGAAGAATTATTTAACTTTCAGCACCATCACTTACTAGGCATATGACCTTAAATAAATGACTTAACTTCTTTGAGAGCTTCTCTACATTTGTACATGAACTAGTACTAGGTAGAAACATATGAAATTGCCAGTCTTTGGCTGTTTTTCATGTTCTAGCCCAATTATGGGTTTCGTAATGATGGGATGAGGATTTAATTAGGTGTTCCATATGAAATGGGGAGGGAAGAAGGGACACATGCTAGCTTGATAGTATGTCATGCCCTGTACTTACTGTTTTAAGGTATCTTAGTCCTCAGTACATTCCTGGTATGTAGGTGTTTTATCGAATTTTACCAATCAGGAAATTGAGGTACAGAGAATTGAAATAACTTGATTGTAGTTACTTATTTAATTACTATCCTTGGTCATATACTGTAGTTGATTAATGGCAAAGCCAGAATTAAAAACTATGTGACTGTCCAAAATGAAACTCTTAACACTCTTGGTCCTTATGTTACTGGTCTATACATTCTGAAAAAGACCTTTGTACTCAGGTATCTCATGATGATGCCACCACTACTTCTGTTATTGAGTCTGCTGTTTCTCATGTGCCAAGTCCTGTTCTAAGCACTATCCTCAGTCACTATCACAACAAGCTAGAAATAGGTCATATTTTATCCCCATGTTATAATTGAGAAAATTGAAACATGGAGAGGCTATATAGTTTGCCCAAGGTTATAATTAAGTTGCCCAGGGTCATAATTAAGTGATAGGCCTACATTAGAAATCAAGCAGTTGTCTTCAGTTGCAGTGTTCTTAACCATTGCGTCCACATCACTCCCTAAGTTATACTGCTGAGGGATTGTTGGCTCTTAGTCACTGCATGACCCCTTCATATGTAGGTTGTAATACTGAAGAATTGTTTTTAATTTAGCTTTTTTGAGACACTATTTAATATTTAATTCTTTTGTTAACAGAGATTTTTACAATTAAATATTCATTGAACATCACTGCAAATCAGGATGTTAAAGGGCAGTATTTGTAAAGCATCTGGAAGGTAGGAACATATAATACATAATCACCCCCACCCCTTTTTGCAGCAACAGGGATAGAATCCGGAGCTTTTGCACTAAGCTACATCCCCAGCCCTTATTTATTTCTTATTTTGAGTCAGGGTCTTACCGTGTTTCCCAACCTGGGCTCAGATTTGTGCTTTTCTCAGCTCCCAGAGTGTTGGGATTACAGGTGTGTGCCACCATGCCTGGCTTCCCATGCCTTATGTATGTTCCTCAAAACTATACATTTTATTTTTGAATTTTTATTAGTTCATGATTGTGGTACATAATACATTCATTGTGGGCAATTGGTACACATATGTAACACATCTTAATTCTTTTTATTTCCCCTTCCCCTCTCTTCCTCCAGCTTTGTATATATTTTAATGAGTGCCAAGTATAACTAAGAGCTAGAGTTGTGGAGTAGTGGGAAGGAAGGAAGAATGAGTAGTAGGTAGAGATATTTATGCATTGAGATCATGAGGGAAAGTTCTGAGGATATTTTGAGAGTATGCTTTTTCAAACTAAACTTTTGTTCAGTATAATTCTGGTTAAAATGTAGTTCAGCCAAGAAAAGTCAATTGATTACTATATTTTTAATGTGCTAAAAATAAAATATAAAGTTTTGTTTGTTCGTTTTTTTTTTTTTTTTTTGGTACCAGGGATTGAACTCAGGACCTCGTGCCTGCCAGGCATAAAATATAAGGGTTTTTTGTTTGTTTGTTTATTTTTGCTACTGGGGATCGAACTTGGGACCTTATGCTTGTGAGGCAGGCAGTGGCACCACTGAGCTAAATCCCCGGCCTAAAATCTAAGGTTTTAAAAGCTCTTTTCTACATGTTTCTCATTTTCTGTACCAGGTAGTACTTTTTTCCCCCTTTATGCTTCTGTAATATTGAGTACATGCTTCTATTGGTATTTATTAATTTTTACATGTGCACTCTATTTGTAACTGTTTCCTGGGCACAAGAAACACGTTTGACAAAGTGGTCTCTTTTCTAGTCTACAAGTGCTTGAAGAGCAGGGCTTAAGTCATATTTGCCATTTTGGAGCATTGGTTTTGGCACCCAGTAGGAGCTGTGCTGTTTGATGATGGATGAGCAGTTGAAATTAATCTAGCTGTGAAACTTGAGTGTTTGGAGTGAAAATTGAGGAAGGAAGAGAAGGATTCTTGGAACAGGTGGCATTAACTTACTGTCTCTTTTTCCCACTGCTTTCTCTTTGAAGTATAACTTAAATGAGATAGTTTTATTTTGTTTTATTTTTTTGTACCGGAGATCGAACTCGGGTCCTTGTGCTTGCGAGGCAGGCGACGGAACCACTGAGCCAAATCCCCGACCGAGATAGTTTTATAAGCTTAAATTATTAGAAAAAATATCAGAACGTAATTATGACTTATTTAAGAGCATTGGCAACAAACACATAATTATGTAGCTGTAGCCATAAGTCAGGATTACTTAGAAGGAGGAAAAAAAATGAAAATTTTAAGTTGATGAGAGCTTTGTTCCAGTACTTGTAGTTAATGCAGGGTTGTAAATAGTGCAAGCATAGTGGAAGTTTGAAATAATGCAAATGTATATATATATCTGCATACATATGCACACAAATTGGTAGTCTATGAAAAATAAATTCTATTCAAGAGTGAGAGTGCTCTAGAAGTATAAAAGCACACAATGATTGCTTAACAGAGCCAATTAAGTATATGAGTTTCGATTTGATATATCCAGGTAAGAGGAATAGTATTTTGGGGCACCTGGTTGAAAGATTGGGTTAACATGTAAAAGGGTAACCAAAATAAGTTTGAAAAACAGCGAATAAATGTGTATTATTAATTCGCAGGTGGGAGAATCATCTATATATTTCAGAAAGACTAATTTTTCCCTTTCTGTTTTAGATAGTAAGAATCTCTTCTGATTTGTAAGAAAAACCCTTCAGTATGATGTTGCTATTTTTCCCTTTCTTCCTTAGGTTTTTATAAATATCTCTGATTTATATTGTGCTTTACAATCTACAAAACATTTCTATGTTGACAATTAGACTTTTGGTTTTCTTAAGTGGAGGCAGGAGAGATACAGCCACCATCATTCCAGATGTCAAAACTGAAAATCATAAGATCGACTCGGCCAAGTTCACACAACTAGTTTATAGTAGAATCTGGTTTAGAGGGAAGGTTTTCTGAAGATAGTCTGATTAAATTGCTCATTTCCTCAGACTTTAAAATTTCAGTTTCTCCAGTCTTCATGCTCTTCAGGTACTTACTGTCTTCTCTCCATCTTTAAAAAAAAAGCATAGCCTGGCATGTCTCTGCTCTTCAGTGCTTTGCTTTTCATGCTATCTAGACTCTTGTTTATCTGGTCAGTGCATATTTCAGTGATGAGTGTTTAGTTAACATTTATTTTTTCATATGCAGAATAAAGTTCCCACTATTAAAAATTAAGAAAAATTTTTATACATCTGTTCCAAAGATTTATAATTACATATAATAAAATATTAGTAACTTGGTAAGTTCAGAACATTTTATGAAAATCCCGAATAGAAGAATCTGGTCCAGGGATTTAGCTCAGTGGTTCTGCTGCCTGTCTTGTAAATACAAGGACCTGAGTTTGATCCCCCATACTGCAAAAAAAAAAAAAAAGGGAAGTTGCCCCCAAATAGAAGAGTCTTCAGTAACTAATATCTAAAAATGTCAGGTTGTGCTTTTAAGTACTGTGGAGTTAATAAGTGGAAATGAATATATGGGCTGTCTTAATAAAACTGGGACGGTTGTGTAGCTTGACCATTTGATTTTCTTCTTGAGTTACTAATAAATTCATACTTGTAGGCATAGAATACTTCTTAAAATGTAAGTATGACTTTTTCTTGTTTAACCAAGGTGTTAGCTGGAAAGCCAACTTTAAAACTGTAATAGAAGTTAATTAGAGGGCTGGGGA